CTGGGGACTGAGCCCGCAACCTCAGTCAGGTCATGTGCCCTGACCCAGAATTGAAGCAGGGCTTCTTGGTCTATGGGACAGCGCTCCATCCACTGAGCCTCACCAGCCAGGCTGATCCTCCATCTTCACATGACCTTCTCCTTTTGTCTCTTTCCTTGCACATACTGGATTAAAGCTCCAGCCTACTCTAACATGACCTCATTATTCACTTACTCTATCTGTAATGACCCTATTTCCAAATAAGGACACATTCTGAGGTATGGGAATTAGGACTTTAATATATCTTGTTGGGGTGGGGTTAGAGGGTGGGGTACAATTCAGTCTTTAATACACACCAAAAAACATGTATAAGAATATTCATAAAAGCAAGTTTTCATAATAGCGCAAAGCTACCAACAATCCAAATGTCCACCACCATTAGAAAGAATTTTTAAAAGTTGTAATATGTTTATGTAATGGAATGCTGCACAGCAATGAAAATAAACTAACTACAATAACATAAAACAACTTGGATGAACCTCACAAATGTAATATTGAACAAAAGAAGGCATATGTGAAATACATACACTGAATTTATTTATATTAAAAATAAAAAATAAGGATTACACACATACACACACATAAAATGGACTGTTATGCAGCAATAAAAAAGAATGAAACCTTGCCATTTGCAACATGTGTAGGTATCAAGGGTATTATGCTAAGTGAAATAAGTTAGGCAGAGACAGACAAATAGTAGTTTCACTTACATGTGTAATCTAAAAACAAAACAAACAAACTCAGAAACAGAAACCCAAAGTATAATTACAGAAAGAAGGGGGTAGGGGAATAGGTGAAAAGGGAAAGGAGATTATAGTCAATACACTGTGATAAATTTACACAGTGAAAGATGATTACCAGAATTAGTGGGGTGATCACACTGAAAGGTATAAAAATGTCAAATCACTATATTGTACACCTGAAACTAATATAGCCAATATAAGACTAGACAACAACTAAACTTAAATAAAAGAATAAGTTAAAGAAAAAAAGAAAAAATAGGTAATCAAAGCATTTATGAATACATCATTACATGGTAAAAATGTAAAGAAAACAAGCGATTACCATAAAACTGAGGATAATGACGACCTCTGATCAGAAGGATAAGCACTGTAAATAGAAGAAACAAAGTAGTTTCTGGGGTCCTGGCCATGTTCAATTTCTTTACCTACATGTTCAGTTACACAATGAGTTGTACTCTACTATTTTGTGCTTTTCTGTTAAGTGGTATTTTGCAGTAATGTAGTTGAAAGAAAAGGGGCTTTGCCTGAAAAATACTTTAAGCGAGTATGACAAAGAGTTACTATCTTTATGTCAAAAAGTTCATGATGAAATAAGTGGAAAATAAGCAAAGTGCAAAAGTTTAAATAATATGCTGTCTTTTGTGTTAGAAGGGGAAATAAGAAAATATTTATTTATTTGTGCAAAATAAATATAGTAAAGGTAAGGTAAAACTAATTAGGTTGGTTACTTTGGGGGAGCGGGTAGGAATCAGGTGAAAAAGACAGAAGAAATGAGTGGGGCAGAGGATGAAGCGCTGTGATACTTAGAATCTTTTTTGACAATTCTGACATTTAGAACCAAGTTAACAACTCACATACCCCAAAACAATACAACAACAGAAATTAGTAAGAATGAGGGAGAAAACTAAAATGAAATTCAAAACAAATTCAAATGAACTGAACAATCTAATAAATGAGTAATGTAACCACACTGAAGAGGAAAAAATATTAACCAAAGTAATTTTTAAACACACTATCTAAACTATATACCTTCAAGGTAACCATAAAAAGAAATGAACAAAGTCTGAACTCTAACTAGGAGGTCTCTTTTTGGCAGGGTATAGGTTAGCAATTCTAAAACTTTGTTCTTATAGGGTTAAGCAAGTAAGTAAAATCCTGTGGGTCACAGGAACCAAAACTCTCATCAATGTGAGAGTTACACAGATAGAAGAGAACAGTGGATCCTGTGGTGATGGACTGGAATTGGGGGTATTAGTGTGAACTGATGGCTTTTAATAAAGATAGATATAGCCCTGGCCAGTTTGGCTCAGTGGTTAGAGCGTTGGCCTGCGGTCCGGAGAGACCCGGGTTCGGTTCCCGCTAAGGGCACGTACTTCGGTTGCAGTTTGTCCCCGGCCCTGGTTGGTCGTGCGGGTGGCAGCTACTCGATGTGTCCCTTCACGTCGATGTTTCTCTCTCTCTCTCTCTCTCTTCCTCTCTCTCCCTCCCACTCTATCTGTACAAAAGATGGAAAAATGTCCTCGGGTGAGGATTAAAAAAATAAATAAAAATAAAATAAACATAGATATATGTGTGGAGATGTATGTATATGGACTCATACATATGTTATATATCTAGTTCTTAACTGTCAGCTGAGAGGGCCTAGAAGCAATGACACCCCAGTAGCAAATGAACACACCTGGCACAAAAACTCTGATTTCAAAATGAATTCTCCACCAAACGGAGCTAGGGACCTTAGAGACATGGCTGATTACAGGGTTGGGAAGAACCTGGAAAATCCTACTGTGCCAAAATGTAAAGAAAATGCTCAAAGAATGATAGGGTCATGTCAAAAGGACATACGAATCAGCTTGAAGGGGCTCCCACTGGCCCAATCTGGGACAATTTGAGCATCAATGTAAATAATAATAGTAAAGAAATATAACTCATCAAATAAAATAATAATCTAGAAGTCCAAAATGATATAAATAAATGAGAGAAAGGAAAGCTCTCATCTTTATAGCAAAAAGCCAACTAACAGACATAAAGGAATGCTGAGATTAGAAAAATCACCATTTCTAACATATTCAGGCAAGAATTATCAATGGGTACTAACTAGTGAGTAAGTTTGAGAAATAACAGGTTATTTACAGAACCTCTATTTCCCCCACAAGATACCTCTAAATTACAAAAGAAAAAATAGTAACTTTATGATAGCATAACCTGACAGACACTACCTTAACCAAGTCAACATCACCAGAAAAGAGGCAAATTAATAGTATGTGTCTCCATAAGCATCTTTTCCGTGTTATTCCTGACAAAAGTGCATGCAGTAAATTTAATCATGAAAATATATCAAAGAATCCCAAATTGAGAGACATTCAACAAATTAACTGGCCTAAACTCTTTAAAGTCATGAAAAACAAGGATGGAATATTCTAGATTAAAGCAGACTGAAAAAACATAATTCAGGATATTCTTTTGCTATAAATGACATTCTTGACACCTCTGGTAAGATATGAATAAGATCTACAGATTAGGTAATGGTATCACACCAGTTTAATTTTGCTCACTGTACTATAGCTATGTAAGAGGATGTCCTTGATTTTAGGAAATGCACACAAAAGCACTTAGGGGAAATGGGCATCATGTCTGCAATTGACTCTCAATCCAAAAGTAAAAAGTGTAGATACACGTGTATTATATATCACATATGCACAGAGAGGAAAACAGCAACTGACAACAAGAGTTAGAGATAGGGGAGAAGATTAAAAAAAGATTAAAAACAAATATGAGAAAATGTTAACATACGAGGGATTTAAGCAAATGGTGTAGATAGATGTAGGAATTCTTTGTACTATTTTTATACTTTTCTATAAGCCTCAAATTATGTCAAAATAAAAAGCTAAGCCCTGGCCAGTTTGGCTCAGCGGTTAGAGCGTCGGCCTGCAGTCCGGAGAGACCCGGGTTCGGTTCCCGCTAAGGGCACGTACATCGGTTGCAGTTTGTCCCCGGCCCTGGTTGGTTGTGCGGGTGGCAGCCACTCGATGTGTCCCTTCACGTCGATGTTTCTCTCTCTCCCTTCCTCTCTCTCCCTCCCACTCTATCTGTACAAAAAATGGAAAAATATCCTTGGGTGAGGATAAAAAAAAAAAAAAAAGAGTACCTTTAAAAAAAAATAAATAAAAAAATAAAAAGCTAAAAGAATAATCTTACACAATATAGAAAATCAGACATTTCATAAAAGCAGCAGTCAAAAATGAGCAATTATTCAGCCACTTAAAATAATAATAAACTCCTTGCTGGTGTAGCTCAGTGGTTGGGCGTTGTTCATTGGACTGAGAGGTCCCAGTTCGAGTCCCAGTCAGGGCACATGCCCAGCTTGTGGGCTCAATCCCCATTGGGGGCCATGCACAAGGCAGCCAATCGATGCTTCTCTCTCACATCGATGTTTCTATCTCTCCCTTCCTCTCTCTCTAAAAAAAAAAATCAATGAAATATATTAAAAAATACTAATAAATAATTTTTTGCTACTTAATTGGCACTAATAACATAAATGACACTAGTCAATGGTAGTAAAATTCTTGGAGGGGTTGGTATTTTCATACTTCGCTGTTTGAGTGACAACAGATCCAAACCTTTTGAGAAAAATAACTTGGCAATATAAATTAGGAGCATAAAAAAAAATGTACAGATTCTAGTGATTCTACCACTGGGACACTATCCTAAGGAAATAAATAATAAATATTGAAAAGTCATTATAGACAAATGTAATCACAACAATCTTATGTAAAATAATGCAAACTGGGAAAAACCTACGTAGAACACAGAAAAAGTTTAAGAAAATGTATAATCATTCACAGAAATTATTCAGTCATTAAAATAAATAATCTATAAAAACTAAGTAAACATGAAGAATTGCTTACAACAGACATAATAATGTGATAAAGTAAAATTATATGAACAGAATAATTACAAGCTTTGGTTTTTAAAATATCTAGTACAGAAAACGAAGACAATAAATTCACAAAACTGTTATAGTATTTGTAGGATAATGATATAGGTGAGGGCTTTCCATCTCTTTCTCATTCAAATTGTTACTCATTTTATTATCTTAATACTGAGAAATATGGAAAGAAAAAGAAAATAAGCTTAGTTACTACTTTAACATTAATCCTTTGTGTTTACAAAGTGCATATGGAAATATTTCAGAGAGAGAAATTAGGGAAAAAGTCATGATAAAGTAATTTAGACAAATACCTTTATTTGGTTTTAAATATATATAAACAGTATACATGTGAGTGAGGAGGCTGCTCAAGCAAGTCCTGTAGGGAAAAGGCTATGTAAGATACATACAAATATCCATATCAAAAGCATGAGGGTCCTTACATCCTTTCTTAAAGAACAAGCACATTCTATACAAATGAGGGGGTTGTGAGAGAATTTTAAAGTTCAAGAGCCCGGTCACAGTTATGAGGTATAATAATAGACAAGAAGTCTTGCAAGCTTCTCTCTAGTCCAATAATCACTGAAGTCTCATTCGTTTTTCAGGGGGACCTTTAGTGCTCACCGTCTGTTGGATGCTCTTTGTGGTCTCCTTCTCCTCAGATTTTACAGTTTCTGGTGTAGGTTCTGCCTCTTTCTTTGTCTGATCCACTACCCATCAAAAGCAGATATTTTTTGGAGGGGGAGAAGAATGGAGGAATGAGATCAATTTAGACAACAGTTCATGTGACTCTTTCCAATTCATTCAGAACTGGTTATCTCAAGTTCTAAATTTAGCTATTTCATCAGGCAGATGTATAAGAATCCATTTACAAACCTAAATGCCTGACAACCCAAGCAAATCTGTGATAGTAGACAAAAACACATGACATTTGAATAAGATACATAAACAAGATACATAATTATTCCTTCCCAGTTCAGTAGATAGATAATTCAATATCTCTTTCCAATGATGAACCAGAAGACCCTTTTCCACACTGAAATTTGAACTAAAAGCCTAAAATCACCATGGCTTTTCCACATCTCAATTCCTACTCTTCCTGCTCTGATTCATCTTTTAAATACTAACACCACTACCACAAAAGCACCACCTTTTGTCAATTCAGCAAATCTCAAAGGTCAGGAGTAACAAACGACAATGAGAAAATTTAGAAAGACAAAATGACAATAGCTCATCTCAGTTGTTACTGAGTTAAACAGGCTGTTAGTTTTTATTTCAAGTTCAACAAGAACATCAGATGAACCATACCTGGGACAGGCTTTTCTCCAGACTTTTGCTGTAATTAAAAAAAGAAAAAACAAAGAAGAGAGGGAAGAAGTAGAAGAAAACAGAGTAGATTAGTAAAGTTTTTCTTCTTGACATCATAATTCTTATTAAAATTACACCTTCATTCAAATTACACTATAAATGACTTCATGAAGAGGAACAATGTACATATCATAAAAAGTAAATTTATCACAGGGTGGAGGAGAACAACAGGGGAGAAAAGAGGGAACATCTGTAATACTTTCAACAATAAAGATAAATCTTTTTAAAAGAATTCCACTAAAAATAAATTTATCATTTTCCACTTCTTATTCACCTGTTTCAGAAAAGACAAATCTAAAACTAGAACAAAAAAGTCAAACATAAATAACCCTGAACACCTACAAAAGCCCTCTGCCTCTGCATCCAGGCTACCCCGATTTACAATATCATCCAGTGGAAGGAAAAATGGAGCCTTTCAAGACTTCAAAGACTTATTTGCTTCGAGAATATGAACTATAAAAAAAAGTTTGGATGAACTTCTGACTTTTAAAGTTGGCAGGTATGGGAAGTACAGAGGAAAAAGAGGTATTTTTCTATGAACATAAGGCATCTGATGATCATACTATTAAAAAGTGAACTGCAGAGCCCTGGCTGGTTTGACTCAGCGGTTAGAGCGTCAGCCTGCGGTCCAGAGAGACCCGGGTTCGGTTCCCGCTAAGGGCATGTACCTCGGTTGCAGTTTGTCCCTGGCCCTGGTTGGTCATGCAGGTGGCAGCCACTCGAGGTGTTCCTTTCACGTCGATGTTTCTCTCTCTCTCTCTCTTCCTCTCCCTCCCACTCTATCTGTACAAAAAATGGAAAAATGTCCTCGGGTGAGGATAAAAAAAAAAGAAGATGAGCCCTGGCCGGTTTGGCTCAGCGGTTAGAGCGTCGGCCTGCGGTCCGGAGAGACCCGGGTTCGGTTTCCGCTAAGGGCACGTACATCGGTTGCAGTTTGTCCCCGGCCCTGGTTGGTCGTGCGGGTGGCAGCCACTCGATGTGTCCCTTTCACATCGATGTTTCTCTCTCTCTCTGTTCCTCTCTCTCCCTCCCACTCTACCTGAACAAAAAAAATGGAAAAATGTCCTCGGGTGAGGATGATAAAAAAAAAAAAAAAAAAAGAAGATGAAACAGTATTCAGCCATAAGAAGCAAATCTTACCTTTTGGGGGAGAAAAAAAAAAAAGGATGAAACCTGAAGGCATTAATCTAAGTGAAATAAGGCAGACAGCAAAAGACAAATACTATAAAATATCACTTATATGTGTAATCTAAAATAAAAATCATAAAGAGAGTAAAGTGGTGGTTATCAGTGGCTGGAGTGAGGTGAGGGGCAAAGGATATGGGGAGATGTTGGTCAAAGGGTACAAACTTCCAGTTATGAGTAAGTTCTGGGGATCTAATGTATAACATGGTGATTATAGCTAATAATACTGTCTTATATAGTACTTGAAAGTTGCTAAGAGAGTAAATCTTAAAATAGTTCACCACAGCCCTGGCCGGTTTGGCTCAGCGGTTGGAGCGGCGGCCTGTGGACCAGAGAGTCTCGGGTTCGGTTCCCGTTAGGGGCACGTACCCAGAAAAAAATAAAATAAAATGAGCTCACCACCAAAAGAGAATTGGTGATTATGTGACATGATGGAGATGTAAGCTAATGCTGTGAAAGTAATCATTTTGCAATACATAAGTGTATCAAATCAGTATGTTGTGCACCTTAAAATTACACAATGTTACACGGTTAAGTATATCTCAGTAAAGCTGGAAACAAAAAGTTTACCCCAAGTTCTTTTTTTTTAATGCTATTGTAAATGGGGTTGTTTTTCTTTTTCTTTTTTATCTTCACCGGAGGACATTTTTCCATTTTTTGTTCAGATAGAGTGGGAGGGAGAGAGAGAGAGAGAGAGAGAGGGAGAAACATCGATGTGAAAGGGACACATAAAGTGGCTGCCACCCGCACGACCAACCAAGGCCAGGGTACAAACTGCAACTGAGGTACGTGCCCTTAGCGGGAACCAAACCCGGGTCTCTCTGGACCGCAGGCCGATGCTCTAACCGCTGAGCCAAACCGGCCAGGGTGGGATTGTTTTCTTAATACCCTTTTCAGACAGTTCACTGTTAGTGTATAGAAATGGAAACAATTTTGTATCCTGCAACTTAACTGAATTCATTGATTAGTTCTAATAATTTTTAGTGGATCTTTAGGGTTTGCTATACTTAAGATCAATTGTCAGAGACTATTTTACTTCTTTTCCAATTGAATGCCTTTTATTTCTTTTTCTTGCCTAATTTCCCTGGCTAGGACTTCCAATACGATGTTGGAAAGAAGTATGAAGAGTATCTTTGTCTTGTCCCTGATCAAAGCTTTGTTTTTCACCACTGAGTATATTAGCTGTGGGACATATGGACTTTATTATGTAAGGTACATTCCTTTAATACCTAGTTTTTTGAGCATTTTTATCATAAAAGGGTGTTGAGTTTTTTTCAAATGCTTTTTCTGAATCTACTGAGATCATTTTGTGATTTTTATCCTTTATTCTAATAATGTGGTGTATCATACAGATTTCAGTATGTTGAGCCATCCTTGCATTCCAGGGATAAATTCCACATGATCATGGTGTATGATCCTCTTAGTGTGTTGTTAGATTTGGTTTGCTAGTATTTCACTAAGGATTTTTGCATCTATGTTCATCAGTGATACTGTAGTTTTCCTATAGTATTTTTGTCTTTGGTATTAGAATAATGTTGACCTCATAAAATGAATTTTAATTGTTCCTTCCTTTTCAGTTTTTTGAAGAGTTTGGAAAAATTAGTCTTCTATTTAAAATATTTGGTAGAATTCACCTGTGAAGTCACTTGGTGTTAGACTTTTGTTTGTTGGAAGGTTTATAATTACTGATTCAATCCTCCTCGTTTTTGGTCTGTTCTCATTTCTATTTCTTCATGACTCAGTCTTGGTAGGTTGCATGTTTCTAGGAATTTCTTCGAGGTTGTTCAATTTGTTGGCATATAATTACTTATAGTAGTCTCATCTTTTATGATCCTTTTGTTTCTGTGACACCAGTTATAATGTTTCCTCTTTCATTTCTAGTTTTACTTATTTGAATCCTCTTTTTTGGTCTAGCTAAAAGACTGTCAATTCTGCTTACCTTTTAAAAAACACCAACTCTTAGTTTCACTAATTGTTTCTATTGTTCTCTAGTCTCTATTTCACTTATTTTTGCTCTAATCTTTATTGTATTTCTTCTTCTTCTAACTCATATGTGGATATTAAACAACACACTCTTGAACAACCAATGGGTCAAAAAAGAAATCAGAAATCATCTGGAGAGAAATGAAAATGAAAACACAACATACCACAACTTAGGGAATGTGGCAAAAGCAGTACTAAGAGGGAAGTTTATAGTGATAAATGCCTATATTAAAAAAAAAGTTCTCAATCTAACTTTACACCTCAAGGAACTAGGGGGAAAAAGTCAGGACTTTCTGGTTTCTGAGTATATGTTCATTAACACTTATACTTCTGGCTTTGTATGTTTCCCATTTTCTAGATCAGCACTGTCTAAAAGAGATATAATGTGAGCCACAATTACAAATTACATATGTAATTAAAAATTTTCCAGTAGTCACATTTTCACAAAGAAACATTTTATATTTTAAACCAAATATAGCTAAAATATCATTTCAACATATAATCAATATTTTAAATTATTAATATGGTATTTTACATTTTTTCTGTTTTAGGTCTTTGATCCCAATATGTATTTTATACATATCTCACAATTCAATCTGGACTAGCTGTGTTTCAAATGCTCATCACATGAGCCTAATGGCTACTGTACTGTGCAGGGTCTAGGTGTTCTTCCTCCAGCACCCCCAGTATATACTATGTAGTACTCAATGAATAAATGGTCAACCATACCTAACCTCTTACACTCTGTAGTGGTTACTTATCACCCTACACACGGCTATAATTAATTTATTCATCAGACACTGTTTCATCTTCAAGTATAATTGTGAGATTTCTCTAAACTGGCTTTCCTGTCCTGAGTTCCAACTGTGTCTTCTGCTCCCTTCACCACCACATCACCACTCCAATAGCACATATCTCTCACAGAGTGGAGTCAGAAAAGGGGGAAGGGGAGGTTATTCTAAAGTCATCTCGTGGTGTAAAAATTGTCATTTAACCTAAAATGACCCTAAAAAAATTTCTTAATTAGGCCCCCTCAAGAAAAGCAGTATATATGACCTTGTATAAACACAGCCCTGTAAAGGGTCCATAAAAACTGAGACTAATCATGAGAATAAAATGTTCACATATTCCATGTCATACCTCAAAAGCTCATTTAGTAGAACTGCAGGTGGATTTGCTATTGCTGTTGGAACGCCCCAAAATAACATAATAAAATTCATATAACTTAAACACCAATATGATGTAACCCTTACATTACTCGTTCCTCCTCCATTTATCATGGCAAACCTCTGCCTCAAGTGTTCTGTTCTTTTTGTTACAAAAGTTTTAACTATTCTGTTGTTTAAGAACTTAGATATCCACTACATCAAGCTGGAAGAGAGCAGAGAGAGTAAAAATAGCATGAGTTTCAGATTCTAGTTTTGTTATCTACTACATTTTAGGCAACCTTTTGAATGAGAATATTATCTATCTATAGCCCTGACAGCTTATTAAAATTCAATGAGAAATTAAACTCAACAGCAAAGAACAATGTCATTTTCATTCCCTTTACCCACTTTCTGCATTAAGTCTTTGAAAACCTTTCCCTTGATTCAGAGATGATTTTTTTAACTAATGAGGAAAATCAGTATTTTTAGGTCACATCTGAAACAGTTCTCCATTAAAAATAAATATGCCAGGCCTTGGTCAGGGGGCACAGTTGGTTAAAGCATCATCCCAACACACCAAGGTTGTGAGTTCAATCTCTGCTCAGGGCACATACAAGCAACCAATGAATGCATAAATAAGTGGAACAACAAATCAATGATTCTCTCTCACTCACGCTAAAAAGAAATAAAAATAATTAAAAAAATAAAAATAAATATGCCAGTAAACAGTATCAAATCAAAATTACCACACACATTCTCATTACCTGCACAAATTTGGGTGGAAATTTTTGTCTGAGGTCTAGGAGTAAAGCATCCACACGCTGCCTCTGGAAAATAGAGCTTGGTTCTTCTTTCTTTTTGGTTTTAGGTTTAATTTTATCTATTAAAATAGAAAGTCCAAATCAAAACAATGTCTAGTTTGGTGTTTTATATTTTACAAATCTTTCTCCCCTATAAATATACTCAAACTTCATTATCTTTTATGGCTGCTAGTTCAAAAATAATCCCCCAAATAAATTAAACAGAGCATATACACAGAAGCATTCAAACTCTCCCTTTTAAATGAAGTTAACATTTAGAAAGTTGATGTCGACTGGCCAGTATAGCTCAGTGGATTGAGCATCATCCCATGGACTGAGAGGCCCAGGTTCGATACTCAGTCAGGGCACATGTCCGGGGTTGTGGACTTGATCCTGGGGGCGCGCAGGAGGCAGCCAATCAATGTTTCTCTCTCACATCAATGTTCTACCTCTCCCTTCCTGTCTCTCCAAAATCAATAAAAGACATATTAAGCCCTGGCCAGTTTGGCTCAGAGGTTAGAGCGTGGGCCCATGGACCAAAGAGTTGCGGGTTCAATTCTGGCCAAGGGCATGTACCTAGGTTGCAGTTCAGTCCCAGCCCTGGTCGGGATCACGTGGAAGGCAACCAGTCAATGTGTCTCTCTCACTTTGACATTTCTGCTTCTCTCTCTCTCTCTCTCCCTCCCTCCCTCCCTCCCTCCCTCCCTCCCTCCCTCCCTCCCTCCCACTCTATCTGAAGATAAAATTGGAAAAATATCCTCAGGTGAGGATTAAAAAAAAAAAGTTGATGTTGCCCTGGTCAGTGCGGCTCAGCTGGTTGGAGCATTGTCCCAACCTGGTTCAATTCCAGGTCAGGGCACATGCAGGGGTTTTGGACTCAATCCCCGGCAGGGGGCGTGCAGGTGACAAATGATGGATATTTCTCTCTCTCTCTAAAAAGCAATAGAAATATCTTTTAAATAAATAAATAAATAATAAAATGCTGATATCTTTTAAAGATACTTTAGTTTTAACTTTGTAAAGTATATGATTGTCTAACCACTATGCTGTATACTTAAAACTAATACAAAATAGTATTTGAATGTACACTGTAATTAAAAATAAATTTTTTAATGATACTTTAGTTTTAGTATATAAGCATGGATAGAAAAAAGAATTTTAAGTCCAAAGTTTTCCATAATTATTAAAAGCATAATCCAGATTACTTGTTTGACATTATCTTATATATTTTCAGCGTATTAAATGGTCTTTTTCCATGAAACTTAAAAGTGCAAATAGAAAATGCAACTTTTACAAACTCCTCAAGCTACCACACTCAATTATGGAGACTATAATTCACTGGGGGGGGGGGGGGGGCGATCAAACAGAAGATCCTCAAGACAAGAAAAAAAAAAGAACGTATAAGAGAAATTCTGACATTAATGACATACAATTTCCCCTGGGAGGGGGGTATACAGGGGGACTGTCTCTAAATGAAGGGTTCCAGATAAGTTTTACTCCAAATAGTTCATTAGGGTAGAGGCAAAGAGCTCTTAGGAGTTTACTTAACTGATGTAAACTTTCCTACATCTAATGTTACAGCCTGCAACTACTATTAAGAATAAATGTAACTGTATCTGAGACTATTCATGCCACAAGTCTGAATCCTATTTAAAGGCTACTTTTCCATTAGTAATTTATCCTGAACTATTTCTCAGAGAAGGAAATACAGACTATAGGTTTCTGGTACTTATTGGTAAAATATGGTGTAGAACAAGTAGCAGATTAGCAGCTACAGATACTAGGGAACCTGGCACCACAACAGGTGATAACATGGAAAGATCAGAAAATAGACTGTTCACCTGGGCAGAAAGCTCTAAAAGCATCTCCCCTACTTTTCAGACTGGGAGATTCAGGTTCCTGATTTCAAGATGACTCTACAGTCAATTAAGCAAGAAATATCGTCATTACTCATTTCTCATCACCGATATTCTCTGCATATTCCAAATATTTAAAAACCTTGAATCCACTTATCAAAGATTACCACTTACCTAACAGATTGAAAATTTTATATGTTCCTATGGGAAAGCTATTATTATATCTATTTATATAAATCATAGATGTGACAATGTCATCATCCTATGCAGAATCTTCCCAAGGAGAAGTAAAACACACCTAGAAATCAATAGCTATTTTCCTAAAGTAAACAGCTTCATTCTCAGAATACCTAAAAAGGTTTTTGGAGGGTCTAGGTGTCCTACCTACCTTGCTCTTCATGGTCCTTGAAGTGCCACCAATAACCTTTGGAAGGATGATATCGACAGTATGACATAGCTTCATCAAAAGCGGACTGAATACCATGCACCGCGGTAAGCTTGTAAAAAAAAAACAAATGGATTCTAAATTTCTCATTAGATCAACCAAAATTTCCAAAGTAAATACAAGATATTACATTTGCAAAGACAGTAATTTTCTGTTTTTCAGAACCTGAATCTCTATATAGCTGGGGCTGTGATATATACTTTCATTGTTTTTTAGATTTTTAATTCCTCACCTGAGACACCAATGTAAGAGAGAATCATTGATCAGTTGCCTCCCATACAGTGCCTCGCCCAGGGACTGAACCTGCAACCTAGGTATGTGTACTGCCCAGAAATCAAACCCACGACCTTTAGGTACATGGGACAATGCTCCAATCAACTGAGCCACCTGGCCAGGGCTGTGGTATATACTTTTAATATAAAGCTGACCCACAGTAGCAATGCTCAAAACATTCTAATACTTAACATCTTATACTAACTTATAAAAAGAGCACCTGTTTGATTCTTTTTTGTTTGGTTAATCTAGAGGTTGACAACTTTGAAATGTTTTTTCAAGAATATCTCTTTAAAGGTCCTAATCCTTGGACATGACTGAGAATATGGATTATTATTATTCTTTAATCTTTATTGTTTTAAGTATTACTGATATTCCCCCCTTTCCCCCATTGAACCCCTCCTATCCACTCCCACCCCCTCCTGCTTTCCCCAAACTATCGTTTGTGTCCATTGTCCTGCTTGAGTCTTTAAGGCCAGGTAGCCCAAGTAAAAGTTTTCTTTAGTGTTTAAAGAATGTGAAGAGCCCTGGCCGGTTTGGCTCAGCGGTTAGAACATCAGCTCACGGACCAGAGAGTCCCAGGTTCGGTTCCCACTAAGGGCACATACACTGGTTGTAGTTTGTCCCCGGCCCCAGTTGGGGTCGAGTGGGTGGCAACCACTTGATGTGTCTCTCTCACATCAATGTTTCTCTCTCTCTCTCTTCCTCCCTCTCTCCCTCCTGCTCTATCTGAAGATAAATGCAAAAATGTCCTCGGGTGAGGATAAAAAAACAAACAAACAAAAAGAATGTGAAGATACTTACCACTCTAGAGTTTATAACTGATCCCAAGTCTGGTGCCTGATAGATCACTCCAGCAATGATATAGTAATCAGCCAGTGGGATAACTAAAGCAGTAGGGAGGGCAGGGGAGACCATTTATGAATACAGCTATGTACACAAATGACTAAATAGATTTTCATTAACAGAACAACCAGAATTGACATTTTCCCTTATTAAAACTTAGGGCGGAGACTAGCAATTCCTGTTTTTGTAAATAAAGTTATGTTAGAAAACAGTCACACCCATTCATTTATGTTATTATCTATGGCTGCTATGGCAGTAGTTGAGTAGTTGTCACAGAGACCATGAGTCCCACAAAGTCTAAAATATTTACCCTGTGGACCTTCACATGAAAAGTTTTGCCAACTCTTGCCCTAAAGCAGAGCTTCTCAAATGTTAATGTACACCTGAATCACTTTAGTACCTATTAAAATAAGATTCTTAGTAGGCATAGTGCATATCTAATAAGTTCCCAAGTGACCAATGCTGCTGTCAGTCAGCTTCACCTTGGGAAGTAAGACCTTAGAGCAAGAGAGAATTAGGGCCCAGGATGAAGATATCAGATGTGCTAAACCTGTCTCTGTGCCCCTGTCCTGGGTCCGAAGGAATAAAACAGCTGCAAGTGAGGCCAGTGCCACCTTGAGTAGCTTCTATACTTTGAAGGCTCTCATCATGGAAATCTTGTCCCTGGTCTTGCCTTTGTTCTAAGGTTCTCTTTTTTAATCCTCGCCTGAGGATATTTTCACCGATTTTTAGAGAGAGGGGGAGGGAGAGAAAGAGAGAAACATTGATCGGTTGCCTCCCGTACGTGCCCCAACCAGGATCCAACCCGAAACCTAGGCATCTACCCTGACTGGGAATTGAACCTGCAACCTTTCAGTGTACAGGCTCCAACCCACTGAGTAACCCCAGCCAGGGCTAAGGTTCTCTTTTTCTCTGGGCAGAAACTACATTTTTTAACTAAATTTAAATTCTTGACTCTGGAACCACGACTTCTTTAACAAGTCATTTCTGGAATCAGTAAAAGGGCTGTTACTAAATGTCTTGATGAGGATATTTAATTAGGAGATGTAGCTGGTCATCTCTGGAAATAGGTGACTAATTCTTTTGATTCAAAATCAAATCTGAATTCTACACTCTTCAGTGTGACTTCTAAGGCAAGTTTTTGTTTAGTAGTATAACCCAAATGGGTCAATGAGGACTTCCAACTAACCTATGAATATGGTACAACTGCACCTACCATGTAGTTTGTAATTAGACCCTGTGAACAGAGATGAAAAGATTACTTGGTATGCTCAAGGTTCATTTGGAATCCCAACGACTGTGCTCACAGGAAGAGGTGGTTTCAATATAGCAAGTTGCTTTGTTAGTGCTTGCAGAATTGTCCCTGGGCATGCTGGAAGACCCCTGAGTGTCTAAGCATGTGACTAGAGGACGTAGCTTTTGAAATGTTTCCTAAGTGATAAAACTATGCCTACTATACCAGCTTGCCTAGACAATTTGTACAAACAATATTATAGTGGAAACTTGATTCCCTTCTAAGGGTCTGGAATATTAGCAGGCAGAAGATGTCTACATGATTAGCCCTCAATAAAAATTTTGATCACAGAGTCTCAACTGGATTTCCCTGAGCAGACATACACACATGGGGCTGCAGTCACTGCTGGAGGGTGAACTTGGTGTGGCCCCTCATAGGAGGAAAAGTATAGGAAGCTTACACATGGATTCCTACAGATCTCACTTAATATGTCTTTTTCCCTTACTGATGTGGCTGTATATCCTTACTGTGATGGCTTAACAAATCTTATGCATGACTAACTATATGCTAAGTCTGCTCCATCCCCCCCTAGTAAAGCACTGAACATGTGTGTTATCTTGGGGATGCCCAAGAGAACCCAACTAAAAACAAACAAACAAAAACATTGTATACTTCAGAAAGTAAATAAATCATGGTATTTTAAGAAGAAAATACTGCCTGAAGTTTACACATTTTACCTTGGGTAGGCGATTGGCGCTGTTGCTTCCGAACGATAAAAAGAATGGGCTCTTGAGCATGTAAAAGGATGTATTCCACTCCAACCATCTGACTGAATAAAAATAGAACACAGACATCCAGAAATCTATGAATGCCTTACAAAAAATTCTGTAGAACATTCAAATTATTATATAAAAGTATAACAACACTGTAAGTAGAATTAAAACTGCCTATGTTTGATATTAAAACCTAGCTGTTTAGTAAAACTGGCTATTTTCTGAGGTAGTGAAATTCAGATAAAGATTTGGTTTTTATTTTATTAATTTTTTTTCTTTATTGATTTTAGAGAGAGAGGAAGGAAGAGGGAGAGAATAGAAATATTGTTGGGAGAGAACATCAACTAGCCGCCTCCTGTATGCCCCCCACTGGGGATCAGGCCCACAACCTGGGCATGTGCCCTGACCGGGAATTGAACCGGTGACCTTTTGATGCATGGGTAGACGCTCAACCACTGAGCCACGCCAGGCAGGCAAAGATTTAGTTTTTAAACAGCAGATTTTTTTTTTTAAATCCTCACCTGAGGACATATTTCCATATTTTCTTTTTTTTTATCCTCACCCGAGGATATTTTTCCATTTTTTGTACAGATAGAGTGGGAGGGAGAGAGAGGAAGGGAGAGAGAGAGAGAAACATCGACGTGAAGGGACACATCGAGTGGTTGCGACCCACACGACCAACCAGGGCCGGGGACAAACTGCAACCGAAGTATGTGCCCTTAGCGGGAACCGAACCCGGGTCTCTCCGGACCGCAGGCCGACGCTCTAACCGCTGGACCAAACTGGCCAGGGCATATATTTCCATATTTTGTTCAGATAGAGTGGGAGGGAGAAAGAGAGAGAGAAACATCGACGTGAAAGGGACACATCGAGTGGTTGCGACCCACACGACCCAACCAGGGCTGGGGACAAACTGCAACCAAGGTACATGCCCTTAGTGGGAACCGAACCCAGGTCTCTCCGGACCGCAGGCCGACGCTCCAACCGCTGAGCCAAACTGGCCAGGGCTAAACAGCAAAATTTCTCTACAAAAATTCACTATAAACTTAAATTTTCATCATGACAGTACACTGAAGAGCATGTTTCAAAAAAGGCAACCAAAATATGCTTCCTGACCTAAGAAATCTATAAATATATGTAAAATATAAAAATATACCTGAAGACTATTCATGTCCTGACTATATGTCAACTATATATTCTACCCAACTAGAAAATATCAAAAACCTTTCCTTGACCCAGTGCATTTTTGATCTAACAGATTATATTTCAAAGTACCAATATGCCCTGGCCGGTTTGGCTCTGTGGTTAGAGCGTTAGCCTGCGGGCCAGAGAGTCCCGGGTTCGGTTGCCGCTAAGGGTCCGTACCTCGGTTGCAGTTTGTCCCTGGCCCCGGTTGGGGTTGTGTGGGTGGCACCCAGTTGATGTGTCTCTCTCACATCAATGTTTCTCTCTCTCTTCCTCCCTCTCTCCTCCTGTTCTATCTGCAGATAAATGCAAAAATGTCCTCGGGTGAGGATAAAAATAAATAAATAAATAAGTAAACAAATAAAGTAACAATAAGTTGTCTTAATAGTTATAAATATTTGTCTCATAACAAAAGCTATTTAAAATACCATGGAATTTTAATTTCATGAATCCCCCCTAATGTTTAGCTAACAGATGAAAAACTTTTATTACACAGTTGTTTCAGAAATGTTTACAACAGTAATAAATCTTAACATCCTAAGTCTGAAGAATCTTGCTTTGCATTTGTTTGGCTAAATTTTTATTTTCTTTGTCAAACAAAGATAAATCTACTATAAACCTACTAAAGACATTAAATTAGATGTAGAGGAGAAAATAAGTATAGTTACTAGGTTGAGCATAACAGTTGCATTGCTAAAATCACTCATCAAATCTAAACCTGACAGCTGTATTTTAATTGGACAGTAATATAAGAAGTTATACAGAAAAGACTTCCTAAGCAACAAATTGACTATTAATAATTCCTTTGCACATCAAAATTTGTTATAAACCCAAACAAAACTCAAGTTCTTCCAAAACTTCTCCTCTGTGCTTCAGGATCCACAGCTTGAAAGAACTGTTTACTGCAGAATCTCTGGTTGGCAAAGAGGCTACCTTCTTACAATAACTTACTTTAAGTGTTCTAATGTTAATCTCTGCATTTTGACCACTTCATTATTACACGTTCTGTCGTAAAAAGGATTACTTCTTTCTGAAAAGTAATCCAGGACACTTCCATTGTTCAAAATGGGGATCCATGAACTGTCAACCCAAGAGATTCCCAGCAGATTATCTATAGGAAAGAAACAAAATGAGAAAAGAGAAAAAAAAAATCTAATCCTACAAATATTATATATCTAATGTTGTAGGCACTATGAATAGAAGAAAGACATGGATCCTAACTTACATACTCTCACAGTCTAACAGAAGAGACAAGTACGCAAGAAAGCACTGACAACTCAACATGATAAATGCTATAATCAAAGTATGGATAAATGTATTATGAGAGCACAGTGGAGGGAGCAGAATACCTTACCTGAGGGAACTGGAATGATTTTTCATGGGGTGAGGGCTTTAGCACTATATGTTAAAGAATAAATAAGGGTTCATCCTGGAAAAAGAGGAGCAAAGTAATTCTAAGCAGAGAGAATGCACATACAAAGGTGGGAAAATACAAAAGTATATTATATTTAATGAATAATTTGATTAGGTGGAGAAGTGATAGAATTTGAAATCTAAAGAGGTCTTTCAAAAAATTGGAAATCCTACGTTTTTATATGATGGCAACTAATTCAAAAGTTTTCAAACACCCATGCCAAAGAAAACATATCCAGAGCCACTAATTTGCAACTTCCCAATTAGTGACAGAGAAACAAATTACGAAGTTATTATTATAGATGAAATAATACTGATGCAAAAGTGAAAGGGCAAATGAGAAGTAGAATGCCCTTCATTACAGCCATACAATTTTATATTTTAGAATAGAATTTGAAATTTTAAAAAATGCACAAAGAAAAAAAGACATGGTAAATAGAGCTAGATACCTTTAATTAATGAGCTTTTATTAGGTACTGGCTGCAAAGATGTTTCACACCACTGACTATACTAAATCCCACTAGCTGTGAGTCATGAACATCAAAATGCCTATATAATATTGATTGAAGAAGTAAGAATTAAAATCTCAATCTCTCCTATACTTTAATTGCCTCTGGCATCTTTCAAGAAGTTAGACTTAATCCAAGGTGACAAGCAATTCCAAGCAAAATAAATCAAGTGAGAAAATGTAATTGTATAAAGATAAAATGTGCTTTGTGCCTTATAAAACCAAGGAAACAAATAGATGAAGTATGTCAATGACCAAATTATCAGTACAGACCATTAAGATGATTCATCATAAATGTATCATACCATAGTCAAATATTTAACAGGCCAAAAAAATAAAAAGACATATTTTCTAATGAAAAACAATTAAGGATAATCATTATTTTCAGCTTCAAGCATTAGAACCCACTTCTTTTTTTTTTTTTTTTTTTTATCCTCACCCGAGGACACTTTTTCATTCCTTGTTCAGATAGAGTAGGAGGGAGAGAGAGAGAGAGAGAGAGAGAGAGAGAGAGAGAGAGAGAAACATCGATGTGAAAGGGACACATCGAGTGGCTGCCACCCGCACGACCAACCAGGGCCGGGGACAAACTGCAACCGAGGTACATGCCCTTAGCGGGAACCGAACCCGGGTCTCTCCGGACCGCAGGCCGACGCTTTAACCACTGAGCCAAACCGGCCAGGGCAGAACCCACTTCTTAAAGTAGTTTTGCTTAAAGCAACCTTGTTAAAAAGTGCTTTATTTCCTTAGGAATGATTAAATAAAAGCATTTGTAGAGGACAATTTCAGGTTTCTTTCTCACTTACATAGTGGAAACTTGCTACTAAATATGGTATCAAAGTAAGTTATTAACAATAAATTGTTAAAATATTACAGATCATTTCCAGAGTAATCTGCAGAAACAAGTAAAAACAATTATCGCCAGTCAATAAATATGGGCATGAGGTGATGGGGCCCTAGTGGAAGGCAGTGGCAATGCACAGGAAGATAAGGAGCAAGTCACCAATAATCTGACCTCATCTTCTTCCTGCCTCCTTTGTCTTTTTTATTAGTTTTTTTTTTTTTTTTTTTGATTTTTAGAGAGGAAGGGAGAGGGAGAGAGAGAGAGAAACATCGATGAGAGAGAATACTGATTGGCCACCTCCTGCATGCCCCCCACTGGGGATTGGGCCCACAACCTGGGCATGTGCCCTGACTGGGAATCAAACCAGTGACCTCTTGGTGCATGGGTCAACGCTCAACCACTGAACCACACCAGTCAGGCCCTACCTCCTTTTTCACTGCTTCAGCCATACCTGCCTCTTTGCTGCTCCTCTAATACACTAGGCATGCTCCCCCCTTAGAGCCTTTGCAATGACTCTAACAACTCTAAAGTAAAACATCAGAACACTAAATATTTGAAAATAGTCTCAACTAAACGTTTCTCATTTTTATTTAGTAGCAAGGGAACATGATGATATAGCCCTATAACAGCTCTCTAACAATCAGCAAGTGAGATAAAATTAGGCACTGGAAACCTAACTTATAATGAAAGACAAATACATGAAAGCATTCTCCAGAAATGATGGTCACTGGGCATTTTGAATAACTATAAAATGAGAACATATTTGTAATAAGTGTTAGACTTCACTTTTGTTAATACAGAAAATGAAATCTTCAACATTTCCCTTTAAAAATAAGGTAGTATAGCCTGGCCAGTGTGGCTCAGTGGACTGAGCCTTGGCCCATAGATTGGGAGGTCCAGGTTCAATTCCCACTCAGGGCACATGCCTGGGTTGTGGGCTCAATCCTCAGCAGAGGTGTGCAAAGGTAGCCGATCAATGTTTCTATCTCTCTGTCCCTTCCTCTCTTGTAAAAAAAAAAAAAAAAAAAAAAAAAAATCAATTAAAAAATAAATAATTTATTAAAAATCAAGTATATATAACCTTGGCCAGGCAGCTCAGTTGATTAGAGTTGTCTGAATACACCAAAGTTGCAAGTTGGATCCCTGATAAGGGCACATACAAGAATCAACCAATGATTGCATAAATAAGTGGAACAAATCTCTCTGTCTCTGTCTCTCTCAAATCAGTAAAAATCAAGTACATACAAACAAAACAGCCCTACATGGAAATGACTTGGAGCATATTATAAACATCTTTTTGTTGTTATTAATTCTCATCCAAGGACACTTTTTCCCATTGATTCTTAGAGAGAGTGGAAAAAGGGACCGGGGGGGGGGGGGGGGGGTGAAGGGTCACAGGTTGGAATCCCCATCAAGGACACACACACCTGGGTTGCAGGTTTGATTCCGAGTCCTGGTTAGGCACATTCGGGAGGCAAGCAATCAATGTGTCTCTCTCACATCAATGTTTCTCTCTCTTTCTCTCCCTCCTTTCCACTCTCTAAAAATCAACAGAAAAAATATCCTCGGGTGAGGATTAACAACAAAAAGATAATGGAGGGTGTTCTCTCACTCCACTGAATTTTCCTGGGAACTTCCATGATCCCTCCTCCCAACCTGGAGGAACCTGCTATGTTTAGAACTAGGTTCTCTGCTTCAGCTTTTAAAAATAAAATTTTTTGCCCTGGCCGGTTTGGCTCAGTGGCTGGAGCGTTGGCCTATGGTCTGGAGAGACCTGGGTTCGGTTCCTGCTAAGGGCATGTACCTCGGTTGCAGTTTGTCCCCGGCCCTGGTTGGGTCATGCGGGTGGCAGCCACACGATGTGTCCCTTTCACGACGATGTTTCTCTCTCTCTCTCCCTCCCACTCTATCTGAACAAAAAACGGAAAAATGTCTCAGGTGAGGATTAAAAAAAAAATCAATTAAAAAATAAGATTTTTTTCTTTATTGATTTTAGAGAGAGATAGAGGAAGAGAGAGGGAGAGATAGAAGCATCAATGAGAGAGAACATCTATTGGCGCTTCCTGCATGCCCCCCACTAGGGATCGGGCCCACAACCCCTGGGCATGTGCCCTGACCGGAATCGAACCAGTGATCTCTTGGTGCCTGGGTCCATGCTCAACCACCAATGAGCCACAATCCCGGGCTGCTTCAGCTTTTTTTAATGGTCCTTCCAGTTCACTCTTTGGAATACCAAAGCAAAATTCCTAGGCCTGTTTTCTTTTTTCAAATTCACTGGAACGGATGAGTGTACGTGGGCTGAGAAGACAATGTATAGCTTAATGCTCCGGATATCAATCTGCAGTGAAGGTAGTAATACGTCTCCATATATTTATTCACTGACTCAACAGATATTTAGTACCTTTACAGTTCAGGTGTGAAAAAGAAACAACCCCTACCCTAATTGTTGGGTGCTCGATGGAAGATACTGTAGGCTCAAAACTAAAACTTACTGAAGAAAACTTAGGGATTCATGCCCAGGGACGCAAAAGGCGCGATGTCAGAAATAAAGCAGCCCCTAGGACGCCAAGTCCCAAGAGATGAATCAAATCACGTCGGTTCATCCCCATCTCCCACTCTGTCCAAAGGCCATTCCTTCACCCGGGTGAATAGCCCCAATATTTACTGTATAAATATATGTATAAAACAGTACTGCAAATTTGAGGGTTCAAAGCTCGGAACTTTTTCCAATCCCTTCGCTTCGACACTTCTGAGACCCCGAGGAACTGGGAAAAACCAGGCAACTCTTCGCCAGCTTAACGCATTCGGTCGTCCAGAAATAGAGCTTGGAGACGTCACAAAGGAACTTGAACCTTGCCCCCGCGAGCTATAAAGCCCCAAACCAGACCCCAGATAATGAAGAAACAAAAGCTAAAAGCACAGGTTACCTCGGATATCCACCGCCGCCATAATTCCAAGTGTTCGCGGGCTCTTCTTCCGGCGCAGAGGAAACGTAACGCCTGCGACGGCGGAAGCAGCGGGCTGCAGACCCTAGGGCCCGTGAGGAGCAACGCAAAGAGGGGAGGGCGCTGGAAGGTCTGGAAGAGGGCAGGGAAGGGGAGAAGGCCGAGAGCACAGAACCGCTGCTGGGAGGTGGACCGGACAGAGAGGAGAGGGACGCGCAGGGAGGTGGGTGCAGGGTGCGGAGGGGAGGGAGGGGCTGGGGGCGGACGGGGCGGAGTTTGGAAGTGGGGATGGGTGGGGCTTGGAGGTGGAGCCGGGCGGGAGGAGAGCGACCTGGCTTGGAGGTGGGGCGGGGCTGGGGAGGAGAGAGGAGGGGCTGGGAGGGGGAGAGAGGCAGGGCTGGGTAGTGTATCCGATGACCTATTAGATTTAGGAGCTATTGGCTATTTTGTATTTTACCCTCCCTCAAAGGTGAGGATGGGACAGGACTAAGCGGAAGGAATTTGAAAGTCGTTAGTTTTTATGTCACTTAAACCCATTAAAAGTGTAAACCCATTAAGTAAATGTATTAGATGCCTCTGAGGCAAAAATTTCACAACACAGGAAATGCTTCTGAAATAAAATATTAACAAAAATAACAGAAACGGAATAACCCTGGATCTCCGTAAGGGCCTAGTCTAGTGTCTGCGTTCCTGGTAATCTGGGGTAGGTTGCAAAGATGCCAGAGGGAATAATTCTGTGGTATGGGAAGCCATAGAAAGATTCTCAAGCTCCAGCGTGGCCCCATAAAAAGCAAAATGATATCTGCAAGCAAGACAAATACCTAGAAGAGAACCCCAAAATCTGAAGGAGTATGAGAGGCTGGTGCCTACATCTTCTCCACAACTTTGGGACTATGAAGGCTCCCCCAGAATTTAACTGCAACCCAGGGGCAAGAGGAGATGACCATGAATTTATTGGGATTTCCCGCCTCATAGACTGGGAATGCAAACATTTTAAATCCAGGTGGAATAAAAATATATTGTTTTGTTACACTTCAATTTTTGAAATGGAATTGTATACCTGAGATGGGACGAGATATATATATAATGAATGTCCCAATAAAGTATGCATGTACACAGAGCACAGTTTTTTAAAAAAACAAACAAACAGATTTTTCCAGAAGGAAATTTTCCTGAGGGCCTTGAGGGAGGTGGGTGGAGAAGGCATTCCAAAAAGAGGAAGCATCGTTTCCAATAAACAGAAGTGTAAAGCATCAAGCTTTTTGTTTTGTTTTGTTGGTTTTGTTTTCTTGTGTTTTTATTAGGAGAGTAGGAAGAAAAGCAATAAAACGAGGATTTGTAGATAATAAAATACATGGTAAACATGGTAAGCCAGATTGGGAGCTCAGCCTTTGATTTAAAGGCAATGGGGAAAATGTGATTGGTCTTCCATTTTAGAAAGATTATTCAAGGTGCATGAATTGGAGACATTAATACAACTAAAGCAGGGAGTCAGTTTACGAGACTATTGCAAACTAAATTATGTCTATACTCATACAAAGGCAGTGGTAACTGAGGGGAGAAAAGAATACAGACATTTGGGAGATAGCATCAAAAGGGAATTAGTGACTAATAGATGAACCTAATGGGGGAGAGAAAGGAAATAAAAATGATTGCCCTGGCCGGTTTGGCTCAGCAGTTAGAGCATTGGCCTGCAGACCAATGAGTGGCCGGTTCAATTCCGGTCAAGGGCGCGTTCTTTGGTTGCAGTTTGTCCCTGGCCCTAGTCAGGTCATGCGAGAGGCAACCAGTCGATGTGTCTCTCTCACGTCAATGTTTCTCTCTCTCCCTCCCTCCCTCCTTCCCACTCTATCTGGAAAAAAAAAAAAAAAAAATGATTGCTAAAATACTGATTCATAAAACTAAATGCCATTAATCAGATTAGGGATAACAAGTAAGTGAGTAGGTGAGAAAAAAGGTAATTATTTTGTTTAAAACATGTACGCGTTGTGCATGAAATGTCTGCAGGACATTCTATATACCAGGGTTTCTCAGCCTTTGCACTATTGACATTTTGGGCCAAATAATTCTTTGCTGGAGGTATGGGAAGTTGTTTAGCAGCATATGTAGCATGTTTAGCAGCATACCTGGCTTCTACCCACTAGATACCATTAGCAACCCCTCTCCCGGTTGTGATAAACAAAAATATTTCCAGACATTGCTAAATATTCCCCTAGGTGGTGGAGGCAAAACTGTCTTCAGTTTGATAACCACTGTTGTGCACTGGTTATCTACAGGAGTATGCAGTCAAGCAGAAGAGTATCAGGAAGAGAGGAGTACCAATAGTGTCAAGCAGACAAGTGAAGTAAGGGCTATGAAGCAGACATTGAATTTGGTAAATAGTATGATGCCTCAAACAAGAATATTTTCTGTGGAATGGTCAGGGCAGAAGCCATTTTCTCTCTGCAGCCACCAGCCAGATCTCTCTCACGAGTCAGAGAAAACTTAAGGTCTTAGATTGAAAATGGGGTGGGGGGTAGCTGGGATGTCTGAATGGCTGGCCACAGGTGCTGAGCCACCCTGCTGACCTACATTGGCCCTTGACAAAAGCAGGAAATAAAATTTTATTGTATTAAACCACACACACACACATACACACACACACACACACATTTTTACTATGTACAATCTCTTCTATAAAATTAGTATTGATGGTTAATCTACTCCCTTCTCTGTAGATATGCTAAAATTTTGTACCCGCCTCCCCTACATACAGTGTACACTTTGGAGATTTTGTGATTTGGGGACTTAACATCATTTGATATGCAAGTATGAGAATACAAGTGAAAGAGAAAAGTAAGAAGCTCTTCAATAAGAGTATGGGAATGACTTCTGATTAGTTAAAGGAAGAGACGCTCCTGGATGATGGATAATGCACTATAGTCACCTTCCTGCATGTGGTCACCATCCAGATAAATATTGTACAAGCTTTTTTAAAGTACTTGACACACTGTTTTTTCATCACCATACTTCAGTTGCTCAACATTCTCTCTGATATTCTAAATTTACACATGTCATGTCATCCTTCTTTTTGTTGTTGTTGTTAATTCTCACCTGAGGATATTTTTCCACTGTTTTTTTGTTTGTTTGTTTTAGAGAGAGTGGAAGAGAAGGAGGGGCAGAGAGAGAGAGAGAGAAAGAAACATCAATTTGAGAGAGACACATCAATAGGTTGCTTTCTGCATAACCCCAACAGGGGCTAGGGACCAAACCTGCAACCCAGGTATGTGTCCTTGACCAGGAATCAAACCCACAACCCTTTGGTCTACGGGCCGATGTTCTAACCACTGAGCAAAACCAGCAAGGGCTGTCATCCCACTTTTTTTTTTTTTACTTATCTTTATGTTTAATGTATTATAGATGTTCCTCCTGTTTCCCCTATTGACCCCCTCCTCTCTACTCCTGCCCCCTTCCTGCCTTTCCCGACATTATTGTCTGTGTCCATTGGTTATGCATATAAGCATATAAGTTCTTTGGTTGATTTTTTCCCACCCACCCCCCTCCCCTTTGAAGTTTGTCAGTCTAACAACCAATGTCTACTTCTTAATCCCTTCACCCTTTTCGCCCATTCTCCCAACCCCACTCCCATCTGGCAACCAACAAAATGTTCTCTGTATCTATGAGTCTGTTTCTGTTCTGCTTGTTCATTTTGTTTGTAGATTCAATTGTCAATAGATATGTATTTATTGCTATTTTATTGTTCATATTTTTGATGTTCTTTTTTTTTTTTCAAGAAGATCCTTCAACATTTCATATAATACTGGTTTGGTGGTGATGAACTCCTTTAGCTTTTTCTTGTCTGGGAAACTTTTTTTTTTCTCCTCACCTGAGGACATTTTTCATTTTTTGTTCAGGTAGAGTGGGAGGGAGAGAGAGGAAGAGAGAGAGACACAGAGAGAAACATCAATGTGAAAGAGACACATCGAGTGGCTGCCTCCTGCAGGACCCCAACCAGTGCCAGGAACAAACTGCAACCAAGGTACGTGCCCCTAGCAGGAACTGGCCAGGGCTTGTCTGGGAAGCTCTTGATATATCCATTGATTCTTTTTTTTTTTTTTTTTTTATCCTCACCCGAGGATATTTTTCCATTTTTTGTACAGATAGAGTGGGAGGGAGAGAGAGGAAGGGAGAGAGAGAGAGAAACATCGACGTGAAGGGACACATCGAGTGGCTGCCACCCGCACGACCCAACCAGGGCCGGGGACAAACTGCAACCAAAGTACGTGCCCTTAGCGGGAACCGAACCTGGGTCTCTCCGGACCTCAGGCCGACGCTCTAACCGCTGAGCCAAACTGGCCAGGGCTATCCATTGATTCTAAATGATAGTTTTGCAGAATACGTAATCTTGGTTGTAGGTTCTTGCTTTTCATCACTCTGGGTATTTCTTACCACTCCCCTCTGGCCTGCAAAGTTTCTTTTGAGAAATCAACTGACAGTCTTATGGGAGCTCCCTCATAAGTAACTAACTGCTTTTCTCTTGCTGCTTTTAAGATTCTTTCTTTGTGTTTAACCTTTTGCATTTTGATGATGACATGTATTGGTGTGGACCTCTCCAGATTCATCTTGTTTGGGACTCTCTGTGCTTCCTGGACTTGTATGTCTGTTTCCTTCACCAAGTTAGGGAAGTTTTCTGTCATTATTGTTTCAAATAGGTTTTCAATTTCTTGTTCTCTCTCCTCTCCTTCTGGCACCCCCATGATGCAAATGTTGGTATGCTTGAAGTTGTCCCAGAAGCTCCTCACACTATCCTCAATTTTTTTAAATCCTCACCCAATGACATTTTTGCAGTTATCTTCATATAGATGGGGAAGGAAAGAGGGAGGAAGAGAAAGAGAGAAACATTGAAACTGCAACCAAGCTATGTGCCCTTAGTGGGAACCAAACCTGGGTCTCTCTGGTCCTCTGGATGATGCTCTAATCGCTGAGCCAAACTGGCCAAGGCTATCCTCTTTTTTTTTGTATTCTTTTTTCTTTTTGCTGTTCTGATTGGGTGTTTT